ACGACGAGCCTAATTTGTATTCTTGGCGGCCCAAGCTGAATGTGATTGACTCCAGTGCTCTATCACCTGATCCTGATTCCGTCCGTTTCCAGTACGGATGGGTACGCGTTTTCTGAACGTTCCGCGACGAGGGACGGAAACGAACACCCCGTCCGCCTCGACGAGAACCAACGCCCGGCTGTGCTCCATCGAGTCGATGCAATGGACCTACTTGAGCCTTGAGCTCGACTCTGAAGTCTGCCAGTCCGCCGAGCTTGAAAGAGAAGTTCCTGGAGCTGAGAAAAAGTGGAAGCCTCATTGGTCGAAGACTCCGTGGGTTGATGTATTTCCGAGAGGAAGCTAGAGGCGGATGGCGCTCGACGCTCTGTTATCTTTCTTGCGCAGCTCAAGCCAGGTCCTGATGCGCACGGGGACTCTCAGCGAGGAAATCGTTGCAGGATTCTTTCGGGGCTGTCGATTTTCAAATTTCTCTGAATCTTTAGGACTCCGCCGAACCGTTCCCGCCATATAGATCATCACAGAGCCGTCCCCGAGTTCGGGCTGCTCTCTGTCAAGCATCTCCTCGAGTACCATCCGAGCCAGCTCGTGTCAGGTTTGCTTTGGCTCCTCTCCCTCACCCCCTCCCCTATCACATAATTTCCGTCCTGGAAGGATACGCAGACGTAGATCGGTGGAATCGACGGACACAGAGGATCTCTGTCCTGAGGTTGCCCCCGTTTTCATGAATATACAACGCTGGAGACACTACCCGCACCGATACTTTTTAGCTCGAAAGCACCGCGGGGAGCGTCCTCATCGAAATAAATGCATATTCTCCTGCGATCTCAAATCTCATGAGCCGTCATCGTCTATCGATCATCGAAAGTTTCCACGTTTTTCACGTTCTGATTTTCTCCTGACTGTGATGGATAAAAATTTTCTCTCGTTTCTCGACCGGTTACCCATCGCCGGGATGAGCGAAGTCCAATCCCCTCCCGAAGCTCGGTTCGTAGCCATGGACGCCAGGGATTCCTATCGTTCTACTGCATCCTTCGCGCATCTCAGCAATTGTCTACGGGTGCTCAGATACTTCCATCCCACTAGAGGGGGCGAGGCTCCGCGACCACTTCCAACTTTTCTTCGGGACGAGAAGCGGGTCGAATGCTGAATTGCACTTTGTTCTGTCTAGATCAATAGATGTGTTCCAATATGGCCTGCGTGTATTCACTTTCGACTCGTTCTTCACCTAAGAAGAGATCATGGCTCTTCCAGATCGACCGACTTCACTCCCAGCGGAGGGAAACACCATTTCACAGCCAGAGCGTTGCGGAGCGAAGTCCTCTCGACCGAAATCAGAAGCATCGCGCTCCTTACGGCTACTCGCAGGTAAATTCATACGGCAGCTCTGGGGTCAGTTTGATTCTCGATTCTCATAGGGACCGGGCGCGGAGGGCGATATCATATAGCGGACATCGACACGATGCGAATCCACACTGCCGAGCATCGATTGGGAGTGGGAAAAATCGTTCATCATGCTTATCCTTTTCATATGGGTCTGGGGTTTGATGAGGCTCCGCAAGTACACAGACCTACTAGCCACTAGTCTCATCAGACTCCGCCGTGTGACTCCTGCTCTCACTGAAAAACCCTCTTCCGAAAGACTTGTCAACGCAGAGCTAATGAATGAAAACAGGCGAAGCAGCGTAGAGGATCTGACTGAGAGAGTCTCTCAGCCATTTAAGGTAGGCATAGTTCCTCTGCGCCGGCTCTCTGGACCTCTCGCCGGATTCACTCTCAGGGTGTCGTACGGTCGGCAAATCTGTTCGTTCAATTAAGTGCCGGAATGAATGTCTCTCGCGTCGGTGACCGCCTTCGTCGCCGGACAGGCGTTCTCTCCAACGAAGTCCCCCCGTGGTAGCGGCCGGTTCCACCGAGCCTAAGCGCGAACACTTGCACGCAGACGAGCACCCTATTCTGTATTATGCATTTATGGGGAGAAGCTCCTATCCTCACCGCTGGATCCGTTCCTCCCCGAATCACCGACCGACAGTGAGAGACATTTCCTGCACCAGCCGTGAGCAGCGAAGACGAGGTCTTTCCATGCTCGTGGCAATCCTCATTCCGCTAGGCTGTAGCCGATTGTCCTGACCGCATGAAGATCTTCGCTCGGGAATCCTGAAGACACTTTATTAGAATGAGCTCAGATGGATGCCGAACTGCTTGAACCGGTCTCTAAGCTCATGGTTTCGGCCGCGAGAATTCTCTTTCTGGCTCATTCTTTTCTTCCCCCTTCAAAAGGTCGCGTGACGGGAAGAAAGCTGCAGAGTAAGCTCCCGCTACGAGTACCTACCCCTGACGCAACACGTCATTCCGGCTGTGCCAAAACAGGATTGATAACGCAAACAGGCCTTCAAGGGTGGGAATGATTTATTCGCTGAGGAGAAATCCACTCCCCGTCAGGGAAGGATTTCAGAATTCGAGAGGAGCGTCCACGATATCAATTGCGGGAGCGGGCGACAATCATCAATGATTCCCTGAGCGGCTGCACGCTTCAATCGAAGGGACACCGGTGGCTAGCCGCTTCCCTTGCCTGAACGTAGTGTGCTGCCACCATTCGACAGTTATTGAGGTCGCTCTCCGCCGAGAAGACACACAGATCGCCGTGCGTGGTCGCAAGAAAGCGCCGTCTCCGCTCGGCGGAAGAGCCATGGCCGTCGTCGGGAGGCTGAAAGGACAACGGCAGTAAGACGGCAAAAATACATACATACATACTTAATACATACATACATACTTAATACATACATACATTCGGCGATAGACTAAAAGTGTTCAAGTGGATAGATCGATTAGAGGAGCACTCACAGGGAGGAGGAAAAGCGGCTGCTTATAGCGGACTGAAGGTCGAGCGGGTCGTTTCTGAGCTGTGGTCGGCTCTGGACGCTCGGTCTCCCATTCAATTCTCTTTATGAAAGGGTACAGATGAGCGATGAACGTTTCTCCATGAGGTGAATTTTGTCTCGCTATCTGAGCATTGACTCCATCGAAGACGTCTCTCTGGAGAAAAATGTCAGCGATACGCGACTAAAGCTCAGATTCATGCATCGAAAAAGGATGCTTTCTGAGCTCGAAGTCTGTGAGTGATATTGATTTAGGCACCCATGACTGCGATCAAGTCACTGAGCGATGAAAAAGCCCGGGTGAATTTTCGAGTATCACAGCCCTTGAATTTAATTAGCTAAGAGCATGCAATCCGATGTCTCATGATGCTGACGCTGAAAGTTCAAACGGGAGCCGAACTTCGTAAACAGTGATATGGGGCCCATCTCAGCCTATCAGACACATCGTGGACAGGAAACGAGCTGGCGAGGCACAGAGGCGCGAGAAAACTCCGACGAGGGGGAAATTCCGTGACTGGGGAGCGGACAGTCCATTCTACTATCGGGAATATTGACGGAACGAATATCTTCCTCAGGACAGCTCAGTTCGAACGAGAAAGAGAGATCCTCGACCTCGAAAATTCCTCGGGAGATCTAAAATTTCATGGGGCTAATCGAAATGAGCGGAAATCGGTACAGGGGAACGTGCTTGGCGATCAGCTCGGCGTGAGCGACTGTATCAACGCTTGACGTTCCAACGATCTCTCTCCCGGAGTTTCCTGTTCAGCAGACGCTCGCGATCCCCCGAAGTATTCGGGATACAGAACTCACCGCTCGGAGATATGGAGGCAGGATGAAGGGCACTCTGGGGAGATTGGTCTCCTTTTCGTACTGCGGCAGACGAATAGCTTCCTCCCTATCTGTGGAGGGCGGATAAATATGAGGGAAAAAATTGCCGGTTTCGCCAATTAATGTTTTTGCCCGGATTCCCATCTCTGCCATCTTGATCAAATCCTGTGGGCTCCGCTCTCGAGAGGCAAAGCTCCCACACCTAGCGGAGCGCGGTGCGTTTTAGATTCGTGCGTGGATTTCTACTGGGGAATATTCGACGGAACTCAATTTTCTTCTGCTCCTAATCAGTTTCCATGCCAATTCCGAGTCGGCCCATTCGCGGTCGACTGACTGGTCGGTCGGATGGCCGAGCGACCTCCCTGCGGCTGGGCGCGAGCGACTCCCTCGTCAGGGATCATACATAGGACCTTTCAAGGCCCGAGCGACCGATGCGGTCTGTACCTACCGAGAAGAAAGTAGACTGTCGTAGAGACGGGTCCTCGAGTTTTGAATCCGAGATTCCAAAATAGATCGGCAACCGTTTCCCAAAGCCTTTGATAGTTGACTCCATCGTGATGAATTCGGACCGTCCGGTCCCGAAAGTATGATATTACCGGCTGGACCGAAGAAGCGAAGGCAAGACAACGTTTCTGCGAAAAGCAAGATGAATTTCCTGTGACCTTGGAGGCACGGTCTCTATCGTCTCAGTCGTTGTTTACGCCATCATTATTGTCATGATATCATTATGACTGTCACGATGATGATGACAGCGGCGGCGGCTGCGCCACCGAGGAGAGCATGAACGACAAAGTATGAACGAGTCCGATCATTACTCAGACGCAAGTTCCATACCCGAATACGGTCAGCGTCCCTTTCATCGTTGGCACCTTCAACCTGCATATCCATTAGGATTTGTTCCGCTTTAGTTGAATGGATGAACCGTCCGTAAAGGGTAAGCGCGAAAGCGATCGGCCAGTCCCTCTCGAATTCCTCGAGGGTATCGCGGACCATCGAATTCTCCAAGGCCCTGGGAAATTCTGACATTATTCCTCCGGACTTTGAGATTACAATTTTCGTTCAATCGACACTCAATTCCGAGCTGTACGGGGTCAATCAAGGAAATGAGCTCCCTCGTACGAATGACAACGTCCACGCAAATCACCCGGTAGAGGATGTTCCTCTCGAGCCCGTCTCAGTCCATACAATGTATGCAGTACTACCTCGTGGATCGTAGATCGCACGACCAAATTCCGTGGGAATGTCGCGCTCCGAGTGAGCTGCTTCTCGATTTATTGGGAACATGGCGCGAGGCTTTCAACTCAACTTTTCGGTACCCTTGAGGTTCGGCACGAGATCAATGAGGAATCCGGCTTCGGAGCTGGCGTTTCGCATGGCCTTTTTGACAAGTTCCATGATATTCTCCAGCGAGGGCTCCGAGGAATGGTTCCGTTGGCTCAGAAAGATGCTCTCCACGTCAATCACTTGCAGGCCGAAGCCTTGTGCCAGGTCACCGACGATCCGACCCATGCAGGATCCCGGCCCGCCTGTCAACGGAAGCGAGCTAAGGGAGAATATCAGATCTGGCTGATACCTCAACATCGTCGAACAGTATATGAAGCAGATTCGCCATATTGAAACGAGATGATGGATCCTGCAATCTGCTAGAACATGCCCCGGATCGTGAAGCCTATTGTCATAATAATTTCTCCGCATCCGATTTGCCTCATGAGCCGAGCTCGGACGAGACTCCGAAACAGCTCTAAATCGGGAAAGGTCGGATCTTCTTTCGAAGATCTGAGAGTTTCTCGCGGATGAGAATCCTCTTCGGAGCGGTCTCACTCTGCAAGTGGTGACGGCTCGCTCCCCAGGTGGAGAAAGGAAAATCCGTAGGAAGGTCTCGGAGCCAGCCGACAGGAAAGTTATGTTGATGGGTGAAGCTTGAGATATTCAAGAATCCTACCACCGCAGTTTGTGGCCAGGGGTGAGATATTCCCCGGACAAACTTGAAGAAGGTTCTGGGGCTACGTCGGTGCTAGAAGATCTCGAAAAGTATTCCCTCATCCACTTGCTCCGCGAGACAGATCCGTCACTTTTCCCTCGAGAGAGTTCCTCCGCCGATCAAATTTGTTTCTGACGGATTGGGGCGAGAAAATAGTTCTGAGCATTGGGACGTTTCAAGAGTTTTCATCCTATAACATTGGAGACGTCTCGAGGACCAATTCCCCCAATCAATGATCTCGTCAGCTTCTCGGCCGGAAATCTCCCGGCGAGTTTTTACTTGATCAATGATGGCGAACTTTTCCTCTCGATCAGCCCAACTCCGAGCCATGCAGGCCATAGCCTACGGCGTCAGTCGATTTCCGTAGTTGACAGATTTAATTGATAGCGACTTTCTCAAGCGAAGCACCCTCGGAAATAGTGACTCTGCATCCGCCCCTACTCTCGCATCTTACCGTCTGTGCTCCGCGGTTTGGGTGTCAAGCGCTCTCTAGCATACCAAAAATACTCACCGAAGACGAAGATTACCATTCGACGGCGAACGAAAGTGTCAACCTTACTCCCAATCGTTACTTTGATATCATTTTCTTCCAAAGCGGGAAGTTCTCCGACTGAGCAACTGCTTCCCATGGTGTTGATGGAGCGTCCGCCTGTGACACTTGACAACTCGGAGACCGAGAAGCTTCGACCGAGACCCAGGTAAAAGTGTTGGCAATCGATACGATGCTTCGTTTGCAACAGCGAGAGAATCATTGAGGGGGAGGGAGCGAGGGCTGGGGCTGCGAGGGGTTCTCTGAGAACTTCCGCTCGGAGAGTGCTAATTTGGCGAGCGCTAACCGTCCCGAGGTGTCTACTTTAAGTGTACAAGCCGAAGGCTTCTTAGCAACTTGTGCCTCAGTGAGTCCGTCGGCCGTACTCGGAACTAACGAAGCAGGGTGACGAGCAAAAACGGAGCTCTTCTTCTTTAACAAGGTAGCTGCAAGGCATCCCGTCGATGGGATCTTAAACTGGATTCCTCCCCCAGGTTATCACCCATCGAGCAGTAGAGAGACGGGAGGTGGCTCATGAACTGATCGAATACACAGTTTCGCTCAACGAAATGAACGTGGGTAAAGATGGAGAGAAATCAGCATTACTCACAGCCAGCGACCAAGTTTATATACATGTATATTTTTATCGAAGCACTCATTCTCATTAAATGATGCTTCGCGAGTACGATATTATTTGCAGGCGAATATACATCGTTTTCGGAGCAAATTCTGCCGAACACGGAATCCTGGCTCTGACTACCATGTCCATCTACCATTGGCGATCGTTCCGAACGGCCCAAGTGTTCGGCAAACGCCGAACTCATTTTCTCCCCGAAGCTCCGCTCGATGAAGTTCATGGCGGCGCGATTCGCTGAAACTCTATTGCCTGTTCCCGCTTTTGGAGATGCGTTCGAACCGCTCCGCGGATCCTTTGTGAACTGCCTCGAAGTCCAGCAGACAGCGCCGAACTCTCAAAGGTAACTGGAGGTTGTCCAGCTTAGAGCCTAGGAATCCGAGCCAATAATCTTTGTCTTTTTTCTCGAAGAAATCGTCAGCTCTCATCGTGTTGCCGATGAGACCCTTGGCGAAATCCATCTGTTTCTGGATAGCTCCGCAGGTGGTGTAGCGTTCTCGGACATCGCAAGCGATTGCCTGACTGAGAGGAGGCAGGAAGAAATTAATCGATCAATGCCGAGAGATCCTCGCCGTGTAAGAGTCTACAGAGACGAGTCTCGAGTGAGACACGAATGTTGGACGAGCGGAACACGACCACGGGACCGAATCGGAAATGGTATAACATTGAATGAGTATTCCGAGGCCTCACAGCATGACTGAAGGTCACCCGAGATATGCCCACAACGTCCATGTATGTACCTGTATTGGTTGATGAGTTTCGCGATTCGGTGAAAAGTCGGGAGTATGTTCGAATTTAGCAGTGAGTAGAATACGAACTCCTCCTTCTGGGTCCGGCCCTCGTTGATGATGTGTCGAGCGTCGATGAAAGCATCGTTATATTTGGCGATCTCGTTCATCAAGGGGACGATGGTATGCGCTACCTGAGCATTCGGGCGTAAATGAAGCGTGATAACTCACTCATATGTTCCTAATAATCGCCTTCTCTGTCTCCATAATTGTTCTTGTTGCTGTCATTATCGCCACCGGCCGCCCACGTATGCAGTGAGATTGCTGCTGCGAGCGTTATCTCCAATTGCATGCGATTAGGATGGAAGTGGACTCTTGCACGCCACCAGGTCAAGCATCGGACGCTCTATCGCTCACCGATTTTCGATGGGCATCAACGATAAGCATTAGCGGCCGTCCTGATTCGGTCGCTGACAAGACAAGCTCTGATCAAGGGGATACTTACAAAGTCCACGAAATCGTCCATGAAGTGAGCGGGTGGGGAACTTTGGTGTCGCAAGTCGTTGCGAGCTCTCGGCTGATGAGTCCTGTCCAGTGATGCGTAGATACTTGATTCCGACGCGAGGCTATCGCTGAACCCATATAGTGTATTCGACGCGAGCATTGAGATATCGCTGCTACTCCGAGCTTTCGTGAGCGGCATCGTCGCTAAGGTGGAACCCGTCGAATTCGGCGCTCTTCCGTCCATTTCGCAGACCTGTGTCGCGCTGCTCCGATTTGAGCGAACAAACGGCTCCAGTGAAACTCTGGACGTTGACGAGGAACCTGTCGAGGCATCGGCTGCTCAGCATCCCTCCGATTAAACTGCAAGTCCCTATACATATTTTCTTTCGATATTATTGAAAAGCGATCTAATTCGGATTCCAGTTTCCGATTCAATCCCCGATGCGGTCTTGGGGCAGCAGGAGTCGATAGCGAGCAAAGTCCGCACCGGTCGGAAGACTCCGGGCTCTCACTTCACGAGCAGGATCCGGAATCGCTTTGTACGCTAATCGGAATGGTCAGGGCCGAGGTCCAATACGCCATCCGTTAACACGGAATAGAATGAAGCACTTTCTCGTGTGTTCCTATCGAGGAGATGACTCATGTTGAATCTTCCCGAGGGTTTGACCCCGTCCGAACTCATTGCCACCGACACAACGGGCGGTTGCCGTCGAACTCCGACTCCGTCAAAAAATCATCAGGAGTAATATCCGACAAATTCACCGAGTGGGAATTCAGGACATCGGCGCTCTGGTGCTCCAGCGTTTCGGATACCAGGGCACTCACGCTCGAGAAATGATGTGAATTCGAACGAACCTTTGCGTTTTCTTCGGCTCCGCAGCTGTTTCTTCCAAACATCAACAAACATCGCCATCGATGATACGTTCGAACGTGGGTTCTGGGCCACGTTCGGTGATTCCGGTGACTTCTGGTGCATTGTGATTGAATTCTATATACTGTGGCTAGTCCAGGCGTTCGGAGGAGCTCAAGGCTTTAGCAGGTGACTTCAGCACTGGCCGTGATTATTCCTTTACCCGTGAAAGCAACACTAAGTCCTCTAGTCCCAAAATCCAAAAAATTCACACTCTGTACACAAACGAGCTCGGTTGCGGATTCTTTCGGAAAGCCGCGGAATTTCTCAAGAATTCGGCTGGCTCCATCTCGTCGTTGACCAAACAGCTAATTCGCACTCGAGCGCGGCACTGCTGCCATCGTATTAGGAAAGGCGTTTAGATTAGATGACAGTCCACTATCGTCGGATTCGGATATGCGTGGATTAGACCGCTCGAGTTCAACATCCAGCTACTCCAAGTCACCTCTCACAAAGAGTGAGAGCCTGCGGTGTGAGTTTCGGTGCGACAGATCCCATAGAAGCGACGTAGAGGGCTCTTACGTCGATGACAGCAGACGCATCAGACCTAAACGGAGAGCGTCCTGACTCGCAGAATTTGAAGGGAGCCATATTTCGGAGAGAAAAGGTTCGTGAAAAGTACCGAGTGCAAGCTGTATCGGATCGGCAGTGGCTGTGGTCTACCCGTACGGGCCCTGATGGGGAAACTCCGAAACCCATTGAGAGCTCTCTCCCGGAAACATCATTCGGCGAAAAGATTTTTTTCTGCACAGAGAAACGGATTCGATTCGGCTAGTGCAAGAAATCGTCGATCTATCAGCATCTAAACGATCCGGTTACTGCGCAACACGACCTCCCTTGTATGTTGCTTTGTTGTGTGTAGGAGACTTGTGCGAAGGGAAAAAAGCCCGGCGAGCACATCGCTAGTGTTGCGAAGCGAGAGTCTGACGTCTGCAGTCTCCGACTCGCTCAGTTTCGGGCGGCCGGATGACTGACTGATTGTAAGAGCGAAAGGAAATAACCGCGGCACATAATAACAATAATCGAAAACCAGCTGAAAGGAAGAGTCTATCTCAAATTAGATTACAAATCTTGTTAGACAACCAGCCATGAGCTGGGAGAGGGGAATGCGTTTCGTGTCCTTCGTGAGCAAAAATTCTCCAGGGAAGCGGCCTCGCCGACAAAAACAGCTCTATGAGAGGCAGACACCGCTACCCGCTCAGATGATGTTTGTGAAGTGGAGAGAGGGGGACTTAGGGAGAGCTCTCTGAGCGCTGACTTTCGGCAAAGTGTTCCGGGACACTGTTCCTCCGGATGCAGAGACGCGAAGACGGAGAAATGGCAGCCTTCCTTCAACCGAGAGTGAAAAGAAACCATTTTATTCCCCCGAGTTGTTGATTCCTCGTGGTCGCCTTCCTCATCCCCACCTTCCTAATACAAAAACAGGTCATCGACATCCATTCTTTGTTTCTCTTAAGTCACTAAAATGATCTTATTATGTACACTTCTTCTCATGCTTCAATGATATTAATAGATTGGTGACATGATGGACTCGAGAACGATTCGCGGACCGACCTACTCCGGCTGTCGCACCGTGCCAGGTGTCCAATTGAATCCTTTGGGGAAGCGTTCCCGGAATTCAGGGCTCATCCTCACTCGTTCGGGGTACTCCGAAGCGATGCTTCCCTCCCCCCTTTCTTGGAAGAATTCCGTTTCCTCTGAATGGTTGGGAGCGAATATTTCATATTCCCCCGCAGAAAAGCGTTCCCCGCATACTACACATGTGGACGGATATACTTCATTCGTTTTCCCAGGATTTGTGACCTTTCCTCGCTGGAGCTTTAGGGGGTAGCGGCGGAGTCGGCTGTCCTGAAATGTTCTTCGGAGGCAGAGTAGGTGTTTCTCGAGGATCAGGAATTTTTCCACCTTTGCTATCTTCGTACATGTCTGCATAGATGAGATCCTCTCCACCCTCAATCGTCTGAAAGGATTCGGAAAGCATCCTTCGTTAGTTAATCGATCCGATGTCCGGAAGGAGGGGGAGTTGAGAAAAGTTCCCAACGATCACACCGAAAAAATTGCCCAGGCCGACTACGACGTGATCATTCGAAAACTCGAGGGGAAGACGCACGGGCTCGACTTGATTCTTCTTGAAATTGACGTTCTCGTAGGCAGGCGATACGACACTCTGATTGATGGGCGGCGGGACGGGCGGCACTGGTCCCTTGGCAACGGCTTGATACGTGGCGGGAGTAGTTCTACGGAAAACGTCACTGAGATCGTAAGGGTCCGATTCTGGAAAATTGAAACCATAATAACTATTACCTTCAGGAGTTCGTGGTTCCGCTGGTTGCAAGTCCGCGTCGTAACCAACGGGAATATGGGATAGCAAACACTCACGCTTCAGTTTCCTCCTGAATAGGCAGATTAGCAGCACGATGATTGTCAGCAGGAGGATGATAATTATAATTGCCAGGATTACCCAGACGAGTCCTGCTGGCAGGGCAGCGGCCCCTTCGACCACAAACACGCACTCGGTGAAACCGATAGAGTTATTCGGTGAACAGCGGTATTCACCCAAGTGGAACTGTTCCGTGTCAGAGTCCCGAACGAGCACAGAGGACATGCCCTCGATTAGGACGTTTTTGTCGCTCAGCGGTTTATTGTTGCGGTCCCATTTGACGGAGAACTTCGTGGGATTCGAGTCTACGCGGCAGACCAAGCGATCCGGTTCGTCATCGTCTCCGGTGGAGCTTTCCGCACTGATGCTACAAGACGGCTTATCTGGAATTGTCATCAGGGCTCGCCGGTCAGATAAACGGAAAAAACGACTGTCCAAGATAGCGATGACCCTGTCCGATAATAATAATAAAACCCGAGTATCGCGGATCGAGGCTCAGAGCTCACTACTTGAAAGCAATTCGCAGACAGAAGGTCGTGACGATAGAGAAAAATCAAATGGACGACCCCCTCAAACAGTTACAAGTGTCGACAGCTATGTGCTTTGCGATGCTGAGAGATATGCTATAAATTCAGATCTCCGTTCGTCGATGCCCACTGCTCGTGGGTAGGTTCACTCAGAATAGCATAGAGCCGAGTCGGGCGTTGTTATGTTCTTTAGTTTTTAATCCTGCTCGCGGTCTTCGTCTGTGTAGCAGCGTGGAGCTCCGAGGGGTGGCGTTCTCGTGTTTCCCTGCACAGAAAACACATATATTTCGAGGGAAACCCGAGACTATTCAGAGAGTTCCTCGGTGACGCTCCATCTCTTCACAATTGTCTCGATCGATTTTCACCAAAGTGGTACAAGTATTATGCGTTTCCCCAGTGAGGGGATTTTCCGTTCTGAACGACTCGAGTCGCAATCTTCTGAACTGTGGGGGCTCTCGATATACGTGCGCTCATATTCGACTAGCAGACAGGACTAAGAGCCTCGAAAGCCATCAGGTGGTGGCCGAACTCCTCCCTGGATTCCTCTGATAGCTCGACCGGGCTCTCTCGGCAGTCAATAAAGAAGAAGGCCGCGCACTTTTTTCGACCAGGCGTCAGCTTGTCTTCCGGATTAGCCTTCTGAGCTAATCTGAGCCGAACGGGCTCCAGGGAGAAACGGATGGGAGACAAGACGTTTTTGCGTTTCATTTTTGTGCTCTGGAAGAGGGCGGATTGTTGCTCATATCAGGAGCGAGGACCCTCCCATCGGCCGGTCTTATCCTCTGCATGACCGAGAAGAGAGTTCGATCGATCGAGGCTCGAGAGCCTCATACAGAATGTCGATCTCCGATCCTGGGAATCGGTGAGTTCCAGTCACTCTGAGCGCTCGTGAGACGGGAGTGTCATGCTTCAGGAAATAATCGAATCAGCGGGAAATTATGAGAATCCTGCGAGCCGAGAACAGCATGAAACATGGATCCGATGAGCCGTAAGCCTCAGACGGGAAACGGACTCTCGCTCCGGACCGCACGGATTTTATGCAATACACTCGAACGCGCGCCACTCCCGCATTTGGAATTTAACGAGATCAGGAGCGGCTGAAAATCTTTCGTCCACTCGAATGACTTCCGAACTTGGCTGTATGTGAGGTCCCTGCCTCTCGGATACAGGAATAGCGAGGGAGACAGCCGACGTCATGTCACGCTTTTACGTAAAGTACTCACAGACGATATTTATGTAAGCTATTTTCGAAGCTTGGCCATGAGTATTCGAAGCGACGCAGGTATAATTCCCGTGATGATCTTTCTTGAGGTCGTACTCCGGGGGCAGTTGCGAGGAATTCGAGATCAGACGTCCTTTAAAGAACCATTGATAGTGCGGGGGCGGCACGCCTTTGCCTCGACACTGAACCAGCTCGTGACGGTCCCCGACTCGGACGTTCTGCCGCTCGGGGTTGACGCGAACATTATCCGGAGCGTCTGTGGATGTGAATGAAAGACTTGATATTGAATCGCGCCTAACATATCCTTTGCCGAAGTAGTACGTTCCCACATGAATATCCCGTCGGTAGGAGAGGCGCCCGAGCGAGTCAGACAGTAGAACGAAAGAGAACCGAAGATGAACGATCGCGTTCGATATTTACATTCGACCTGGAATCTTGTCGTCGAGTTGACGGATGGCCCCACGAAGTTGCTGCTGCTCACGCAGCTGTACTGAACCACAAAGTCCTTGTTCTGAGTCCCGTCCTTCGTGAGATCCAGGATACCATTGGGAAATTGATCGAGGTTGAAGCGTAGAGTGGAAACTACACCCGAGAAGTAGTTCTCGGTGATGTTCGCCGGGTCCAGCACGGTCTGGAATTGCAATTTCGAGGTGATGATCGGAAGTTCGTGCGGGGAATAAATTCATTGTCCCCGAACTGCTAACTAGGTTTCCGTTTCATTGAATCCGACACGCGTCTCGGAGCCGGGACACGGGAAGCGGAGGAGCAGGTCTCGCAAGAACATGTTTCGGAACTGCTCAAAGACAATTGAGACCTCCACGTCGCCGTCGAGCTTCGAGGCGGCGGCGGGAGCCGAGCGAACTGAGTCGTCCTGAGAATTCGGTGAGTCTCTCGAAATTCTCAACCAAGAAGAGTCAAACGTAAAGGTCTGGCGTGGTCGTATTCATGCGCCCAGTAGCCGAGAACACGACGATCTCGTCTTTGTTGGCGTCGCGATGGCTGCTGCTGGCGCTGTGGAAAGGGATTTCATTGTTTCGCTTCGCCGTGGCGGAAGCCGAGACAATACGAATAGTTTCGCTGTAGATGTACAGACAGTTGTAGTCACAATGGGAGTAACCACGAAGGCAGCTGCCGCCGCGGCGCTCTTCGGGCAGCGGAGTCTATTAGCGCTAGATATTAGCGGCGGCCCGGCAAGTGAACACTTTCACTTTCCACAAATCAACGGAACGGGCATTCCAGGGTGACCTTGTTCGTGCGCAATTCGAACAACGAATAGGGGAAGGAGCTCCACTCCCAATTCCTCCCCCCTTGCAGCTTCCGCAGAAGTCGACGGACGATGACGAAGTCCGTCGCGCTGATCTAATTAGTTCAGTTTAAGTTGTAATGAACAGTTCTCCTCATTATCTCTGCGGGGACGAGATCTTGAACGTACCTAAGTGGATCGGGACGCGAGTGCCGATCCTTGTCTGCCGACCCGCAAGTCTGCTGACTTGGCTACGAAATGTTGACAGAGCGCACAGTAGCAGTGATCGTCGGTCTTAATTATTCTCTTCCGTGCAATACATCGGAGTTGCAGAGAATGGAAGAATTAGCATTTATTCGAGACGAACCTCTGCTGTCACGAGAGCGCGTATCCGGCCCACGCTTTTCCGTCAATGGATGGAGAGAGATTCATTCTCGCTTGGGAATCAACTTGGGATCTCTCAGCTTCCCCCGGAGATCGAGAATAGACAGAACTAATTATTCGGGCGGAGGAACCAACCTCGATGCTGTAGAGCGGATCGAATACGAGGCTATAGCTGCCTTTATCCGGATGGGTGCGATACCATTCGACGGAGCATTCGGGGCTGCACTCGACTCGACAGCGTAGTTCGATGTTGCTGTCATTGAAAAGCGCCCCGAACACCGGTGGAAGAGGTTCGACCATTGCCGGAGGGGCGAACTGTATCAGGTCGAGATAACCTCTGAGTCCGCTGCCAACGGTGTTTTTGCCCTCGCATCCGTACTGGCGCTGGAAATAAAGGACGAGGAATGGAGTCGCAATTGTCACGCTCGCCACGAGCAATTATTCGAGTCGGTCATCCTGAGCGGATGTCGAGAACGAAAAAATCGTCACGCCGCGTGATGCTCGGAGCCCGGCTGCGCGGGGTCGCCGTTTCCGGGTCAGTGACAGTTATGCTACGGTTTTCGTCGTCGTTTATCAGAACGCAGACGCCACATCGAGCGGAAAAAGACTAACCTGAGTTTCCATAGAGATGTTGTAGATGGTGTAGTTGTTCGCAATGGTATCATCGAGGAACGTATCGTTAACGTACCACGTATAGGCGTGCACGTCCGGATGGCCCACGTCGTCCAGGAGGCAGAGTAGCGTGACAGACTTGTTTTTGACCGCATACATTTCCGCGATCTGGATTCGAGCGGAGCCCGGTGGATCTGGAAGTTTTCGAGCGTACAAAATGCGCACTCATCGTGGATTTCATGCGGGACGGTTATTCTACAAGCAGCACGGGAGCATCGCCATTGGACGTCCTGCGAACTCGATTATCTACCCGCTTGACCCTGGTGCCGTCGGTGAATTAAGTTGCTTTCAGGCTCTCGGACCTCATCGGATCGCTGATCCAGTTTGTGGACTCAAAGGCACTCAACGGAAATTTCGAAGGCGGAAAAAAGAATCACAAATTCCCAAAACCCGACTGCGGCATCGACGATCAGCAGCCGGAACTCACATTCAACGTCGAGATAGATCGGAGAAGACTGATTTCCGAAATCCGCATCGTTCTGTAGACTGCAGGTGAAGTTTCCGGCCTGCGCTCGGTAGCCTGCCAAATGGAGTTCGTATTCGGAAGTTTCGTTGAAGAGGATACCGTTGTGGTACCAGCGTGTTCGGTGGGTCCAGGTTGGGTTGCCGTCCTCGACGTCGCATCGCAGCATCACTTCGAGATCCTTCGGCATTGTGTCGACGTCCTTGACAGTCGTCGGGTTCATCTCGAGCTTGGCAGTCGGCGGATCTGCATTCGAAGAAAAACTACTGCTGACTGTCGGAGTTCTGGTGCTCCGATCGCTTCGAACTTTTTGCCTCTTCGCACTCGTCTGCCCGAGGGAGTTCGCTGGCTCCGCTGAGAGAAAACTCTCTATCTGTTCCTTCTAGCCAGAGATGCTTGAATGGCAGCGGAAGCTCATCCGAGAACCTCCGGGACACCATTAAGGACGTGACACCATTAAGTAAGGGAGCCAGGCAGCGTGCTCGCGAGGAACAAAGGAGACACAGAGCTCAAAACTGGATCCGATAGTCAGGTGACAAACAGAAGCTGAATGCGGGGAAGTCGGGTGAAGATCTTGGTCACGGACACGATCTTCACCCGAGGGAGCCCTCCTCGAGTCGCCCGTTTTCACATCTCGTCACTAGTTCGAATTTCGCTCTCGTACTGGCAGGCTCCTCGGAGCCCTGCCTAATGACTGACTGAGAGACTCATGCGGAAAAGTTGACGGAACATCCGAGGAGACGACGTATACATCCGAGTCCCTGATCGCTGGTATGATTACGATGAAGAGGCTAATCATTTCTACTACTCACAGAGGACATCGAGGGACACTGCATTCGAGGAATTGCCCCAGCCCATCTCGTTCTTGAGGGAGCACGTATAATTTCCATGGTCGTCCTTCGTCACGTTCAGAATTCGGAGGATCGGGCTGTTATCGGCATCCTGGATGAGGGCGTAGAGTTTCTCATCGGCGGCATGGATCGTGACGTTATCTTTTGCGAAAGTGTAGTCGAATATGTTGGTTGGATTCGCCGTGAAATTGCAGATAACGTCTACAGAAGAGCCCTGTTTCACGGGATAATTGTTGGCGCGCTCGATCCAGACGAAAGGAGTGACTGGAAAAAATTCGCAATGTCATCGGGAGCGTTTGAACGCTGGGGCCCACAGAAGGGTCTATGGCGCGTCGGTTCCCAGCTCCAATCTCCGGGGGAAAACTCTCAGAAACGATATTCCCTCTAGAATTGCCGAGCTTTGACCGGGACTTCTCGAGGAAGAGACGTGGCCCGCGTGACCCTATACATATCAGGGAGAGTCGACGGCAGCTCACAAAGTTGGGAATAATTGAGATATGCGGAGAATCGTTTTCCGGGGGCTCCGGACCGAACGAGCCTCCGAAATCTGATGAGTGATGAGCAACGAAGGGATTCGAGCTACACCGACCGAGCGTTCACATCCGACATGGCCACCACTGTCAGCCGCTTCAGATCCCAGCAGTCAGAGTAAATGTTTTAGCGTGTTCCGAGCAGACAGCGACGTTGCCAGCAATCATCTGTCATTCCACGCGGACGATGTGATACCAGTCGTGGCGGAGGTAGGAGTAGCAGATCGCTCGTCGACCCGTTCTGCTCACTCACCGATTAGAATTAATGATATCGGCTGCTCGGCTCGTAATCGGACCACTCCGTAAACCACAGACAGACTGAAGAGACTTTCTATCCCAACTCTTCCCTCGTCTCTGAGACGATTCCCTCCACGACGCGACGCTCCGGATCTAGTACCGTAGGGTTTACGTCTGAACCGCTACTTACACAATACGCTCATGGTGTAGTTATCCATGAGAGGAACGGCTCCTTTTTGTTTCATGACTTCATTAGTACCGTGGCAGGCGAACACGACGTTGTGATCGTATCGGTTCACAGGAATATCGAGGACACTCGTCGTGTCGAAGGTGTCGTCTTCGGTTCTGCTGTGTGACGAATGAGGTTGGGAAGCCAATTCGATTCCCTCACGGTACCATATCGCATTTGCGGCCGGGTTCGCTCCTTGAACCACGCAGGTGGATATCATCCGACCGCCCTCGGGTATATTCATCTGCGGGGGTTTGAGGCTGATATCCCGCGGTTTCACTGGAAAGAAGAAAATGTTCACGAACTGCTCCGCCGAGTTCACCTTTCGGGGCACGTGAGGCCTGGTCTCGGCGTTAGATTTGTGGAATGAGACTCTGACGGGATGGTGATACGTTTCCGAGCGAGGATCAATGCTCAGGAGAGTTCGGCGGGGGAGTACTGAACTACGAGTCTCGGAGGAAGTGTAAGAGTAAAGGAAACGTCGGTCTGACATGAGCTATCAAACGGAGCGGACGTCGGCCAACAGACGCTAACCATAAGCACAACGGTCGAGAGCGATTCCGATCATCATTGATGATTACTACGGATCTCAACTAAATGCCTTGAAACGTTGTTGGTCGGAGCATGAAAGAGCGACTGTTCGAGCTCATTCGGTAATCCGACCAAATTCAATGATTAACCGAACTGTCTGGTGGTCGCGCCCATCGCTCGCCCGACCGGGTAAGAGATAGAATAAGCATGGGAGGGAGCGTTCTCCGAACGAAGTGAGCGACGGAGGTATCGCGGCCAGTCGAACAGAACTCACAATGGAGCATGATTTGCACTTCAATGCTTTTGGGTTCCGGGAAAGTTACGTGGCGAACTTCGCACTTGAAACGAGACCGGATATCGTCTCTGTTGAAAACGTTCGAGTACGTGACAGTACTTGTGATGTATCCATCGACCGTCGAGCTGACCAGTTGAGCTTTGAGCTCCTGGTCGTTTTGGTAAAGGACCACCTGGGCCGGCGGCTTGGCGCCACGCGTCGTGCACGTTACGTTGAACGTCTCCTCTTCGAGCAGTGGTCCTATCACAGCCCCGTCGGGGTACTCCACACCACTGAGTTCGATGACCGGATCTTTCGGCTTTGCTGAAAGACAGAACAGAGACATTTGAGCGCAGTTGTTAACACGGGCATTTAGTTCCCCCTTGTCGGCGTTTTTTTCCTCCGACTCTTTCATCATTCTCCAGTCTATCCATATCTTCTCGCGCATATACTCTCCATGAATCTCTCACCGCCGCTCAGCGCACCGGACAGCCGGTTCGCTTGGCCGCCGGCTTTTTTGCGAAAGAATCAGTCGGTCTCACTAAGTGAGTACACCATTTTCTTCTGGTTCTTCCTCTTTGTGTTGTGGAAAACAAATGAATGCTCCATCAACACGTTAGCTGGAGAATGTCACCGCATGCGTCTGCAGCCCATCAGAGAGAATCGGAGCGGGTGAGCAGGGAGAGAGCAGATAGAAGAATAGTGGTAGCATCCGGGAAGACAGCGGCGTGGAAAATGCATCCAGAACGATCCGAGTTGATATCGAGAAAGTTATCAAGGTTTCATTCATGAAGTGTGAAACGAGGCTGTGGGAGACCGGGTACGGGGAGAAGCACGATCCAGGGGATACCGTAACCCAGTCCCATAGCAGGTCTTTAGTTCGCGCGGTATCGGGATGAGCGGCGTCCAGTATGTTTATGGGAAAATCTACAAACCTCGCACAATAAGGTTCGTGTATGAAAGCGATGGACAACCTCCTTTCTTGTAGGTGACGTCACACTTGTATCGAGCTTCGTCTGTCAATTTGAGCGGGGCGATTTGTAGGATCGCTGTCGTGTTCTTGATGTAGAAGTCGGCTCTCGTTACCGCGCCGTCAGCGAGGTCCAGCTGCGCATTCTGCTTGTTACCGTTGTATATGAACACTCGTTTCCACATATCATTCACGTATTTGCTCCACGTAATGAGAAAAACCTCGCCGCACTTCGTTGTGTCCACCAGGCACGGTAACCGAGTTGAGTCTCCATCGAGTCCGATGATCTGAACAACGTCGTCGGAAGCCACACCTGCGAAAAATATCAAATTCAGAGTAATCAGTTCTCTTCTCCGAGTCGAGGAGCGCTTGGGGTTGTGATGGGATTTCCGGAATCCCACATTGCGATCCTGTATCGAACTTTTCTTTCAGCGTCGAGAACATCTTGATCTACCCAAAAAAAATATGTGGGTTCATGGAGAATCTTGTTAGGCTTCTCGACACGTTTTTTTTCGACGGTTTTTCATGAGCATCCCTCGAGGAATCGTTTTCGATAACATCTGGATTCCGGGAGAAAAGCCTTACAAACCCGCCCGCTACACTGCAGTGAACGCAGAGCTTACGAGGGAGACTCCCCGTTCGACTGAGCCTCTCCGATTTTCATTCGCTCAGAGGAACTCAACTTGAGAAGCTCTCGATATCGATAACCAAGGACCCATAACTTCTACGAGAGCAGGATGATATGAATATTCATTTGTCGGAAAGGAAAAGATTGCAGACATCTCCGCTCGGAGAGACACACTCCCCTGAAGAGGAGTTACTCATTCGGCGATAGGGACAGAGGTTGGAGAAGTCCCGAAGTCTTCAGAACACCGCGCGTGTTCGCTGTGACATTGGATCCGCAATGGCGGACGAAAGATGTAAGCTCGACTTCCACAGGTACCGACGTGCCGTTTATTCATCCAGCAGCCTGACCTTCCGCATAAGTGTTGTCAACGAGATGAATTACGTCAACGACGGATATGCTACACGGCGAGATTGTTTGCGACACGCTTGCAATGAGCGTTTCCCTCGAAGCGACCAAGAGCATCGGCACGTAGAGTTCAAGAGCGACACCGAAGAACCTCGGTGGGTCCATTCCCACTTTCCGAATGTCCGCTCGTGTGACTTCAGGCGTATCAAGCGTCGTGCTCCTCGGTTCGAGTTGTTGGTTTACTGAGTACATATTTCAGGAGTTTCGCCAGTCATTGACAAGTGTTTGTCAAGGTCCTGTCGCCGACATGATCATCCGGTAGCCAGACCCTGTCCAAAGTAAACACGACCGCGACCACCCTCGAGAGCCGCTGCTGCTGTTGTTCGGCACGCCGAGAGCACTAGCTCAGTAGTCGTGCCGGGACTCAGATCTCTGTCGGAAGTTCTCTGATAAGCGTGAGGATAATGCCGGAGGAGAATCCCTGAGAGCGAATCTTCGGAAATCGATACCCCCGGAGAGCTGGTCTCTGTCATTAGAATCTACGATGCAATCGACCCAACCCACCTTGAATGGCGACCAGCGCCACTATGATGACTGGCCTGAGCCACCGAAGGTATGCCATGGCGAAACCTCACTCACGACCGCGCCACCTCGGACACCGATTGGGGCAACCAGTCCCTCTGAAGACAGTGACGGAGCTCCTCAGCGGGATTGTCACGAGTTTCGAATTATAAAATTCTCCATTCCAGTGAGTTCACTAAATGAGCCCAGCCCCGGGTCCGAAGAGTACTCAGTTGCTTGCTTGCAGTGGCTCTCTTCGAGAAGGGTGAGAATACTCTCCCGCGATGACACACTCTGCTTCGACGAGAGGCTGGAGGAACTATAGCCAATGGTCCTGCTTGTGGTGCCACTGATGTTGGAGAAGTCGCTTGGCGGTCTCGCGCGACAACTGGCAGCAGTATTGGCCAGACACTCTCGGAGAGCGGCCGCGGATCATTCCGGCGAGATCTTCGCCGCATGCGACGGCCGGCTGAAACGTCGGTAAGGGCTGCTCTTCGAAGAGATGGATCCTACAGAGAGGGGTCGCGATTCTAATGACAGATGCTTTTCGAGCCGTGAAGTAGAGTTAACCGACGGTCAGCGGTCTGCAGGACACATGCAGATTCGCACTGACCTCGTTTCGGCTTCAGGGAAGACGTTTTCTCTGGGGAAGGTTGCTATCCCGAATCTGGCGGCCACGTACCTTGAGGTCTCTATGGGATCCACGTAGAAATTTCTATTCCGATTTCTAGGAATTCACAGGAATTATTACCCAGATTAATGCCGGAATATTCTCTCCGGCCCTTGGCCGATCGAGCTCGGGCGCGCAGCTCCGCGGGACGGGCTTGTCTCAAGGAATCATCGATACTTCCTACACCGAGAACGGGGAGGCTCTTCGTCAATTCAGGTCCTGATTATCTTCGTGTTGCCATCGCTGGCTCCCCGAAGCGTTAGCGGCTGATTCCGTGGAATAAGGCGCTCGAGGAGATCCAGTTCGAGAGGCGTGGTGAAGATCCGATGAATGTACCGATTCGTAAATTCGGCGAGCGATTGGAATTCGGTCATCATCATATCGAGACTCGGACGACGACGTCAAAATTCCTTCGGGTCAAGACTATTTCCCACAGAGGGAAATAAACGTGGCGAGTATTCTGAGGACGGAATTGTGAGCCGATGCATGGGTATCGACCGGCCGGCCGTATCCCAGAACCTCCGGATTTCGTGCGAAGTATCGTATATCGCACAGACTGAGTGAATTAGTTGGAAGAAGCCGGTCATCGGATTCCGGGTTGATAAGTCCTTTCGAACGTTTTCCGGGTGTCGCTAGGCTCTGTGAGCTCATCGTCTCATTTCGAGCTATGCTGATCGCTTTCAACTGCTTCCGGAGATTCCCGCCGGAGATCCTCCGGCCGTGTCTACGGTCTTTCGACTGGAATTACTCGAGAACCGTGTAGGGACCACTCGTCACATTCGTCTCCGGAGGGAGGCATACTCGGTTTTCGACCCGAAAACGTGCCATTCGTCATGATTGGCGGTCGGGAACGGCGGGCGCCATGCAGCGCTTCGCCCATGATTGATACTGGTCCAACCGCGGCCTCCATCGTCTGCGATGGCAGACGATCGAGAGCAGACCTCCCCCAGAGAGCGCGGTCTTCCTGAGGACCTCTCAGCGCGCAACATGTGACCACCCTGGAAAAGCCTACGATAAACCTACGCGAGTGATCGGGAGACGCTACCTGTATACGGAGGAGAAAGCCAATGAAGTCCGCAAAGATATCCGCTAATGAGCCCCTCTCGCATATCACAGTGCCCTGAGATTGGTGACAGTGCTTTTGTTGTCGCCTGGGATCGGAACCGGAACAGTTACCTCAGAGGATACGCAGGGACGTGTTCGAGTACCTCTGCTTCGCGCGCGGCTCAAGCCCGATCCGGCTACCGCACCCGACGGCCAAGCCTGGCTTCTCGCGCGGGAACACAACTATGCGAAACGAAGGTTCTCCGGCTACCCCCTGGATACGCGGCTCGGTGAACATGTCATATACATATACACGCAGCGTACGTAAACCGGTAGCCAGGAGCGTCAAACCTCGCCTCCCCGAAGCTCGATCATGATCGTCTCCGAGCATGGATTGGATGATGGAGCATTCGAATCTGAAACCATCCGGTACAAGACAGACATTCTGAACAGGGGCATGGATCCGGAATGTGGAAGCTCGGATCGGGGGCCGAGAAATTTCATGGAAAATGGATCCACCACGACATCGCGGTCTCGACTCTTGGACAGGTGCGTCCCGGCCCCTTTCGACTCGATAGTTTTCGGGATCTATTAGTCCTAGCATCCGACTGCAGCTCAATCATTCTGATATGGCTATCGGGGACGGGCCAAGCGACCGAAGTTGCCCGGGAAATACGACCCGGACCCGCGAACTCAGCCAGCAGCGGTTGTAAAGCATCACTCGGTGGGAGTACCCAGGAAATGCCGAAAGCACGCCAAGAAAAATCTCGCGGCGCGTGGGAACGGGGGAGCATGTGAGAGAATGAGCCTCGCAAGGCTCAGGGAGAGTTCCGAGGCGTATTCAGCCCGCGGGCAGACATGGTATTGATGGGAGAATGTCATGGTGACAAGCACGAAGGGGGAACATTCAGGCGGGACCACAAAACATAACGCACTTACCCGCATTTTGGAGCTCTCAGCACTCGACCACCGGTGAGGGCCTCCGATTCGAATTCCCTACCAAGTGAACACTATCCGTGATGGCTTGGAGGAGAGATTTGGGAGGATCAATTGTCCCCCATTAGATGGGAACGAACTTCAGAGATTTCGATTCCCAAGTTCCCTCATCGTCGAGCTTCCATTACGGAGTCCGATCCGAAGTATTCCGAAATATCCAGCTAGGTTTGTCTACCGGGGGAAATCTTAATGAAGTATCCATGCAGCGAGCAAGTATGGAGCAATGACGAATATCGCAGGTTTCTATTCTACTGAAAAATAATTTCGCGCATCGAACATTGTACATTCGGGCTTCGTATCGGATTTCGGGTCGACTCCACAAACAGAGCCTGTAGAATTTCGAATTCCGACCCCACATTCTTCGGACGGATGGGTATGTGGGGGCTGAGATTCTCTCGCGAAGAACCCTGGGTGAATTCCGGAATCCTTCATTAAGAAAAAGCGAGAGCCTGGGGGCCATAAACCGATTAACGAGAGCAGGTAGAGTGAGTTCTTCTAGCACTGAAGTCTGATCTCTCTCGCTGATGGTGCCGAATTCTTCCGGCCGAAACTCTCGCAGAGGGCGGACCACCTGAAGAAGGGTGGGTATATAAGAAGGCGTGCGGAGATCACGGATCACAAAACACCTCTATCTTCCGATCTGAAGTCTTCGACAACCCCAGTCCTTCAGCCAGGAATATGTCTTCCAAGCTTTCGCCGCTCGCAGAGGAGTTTGTCCCGGGAGGCCAACTATCGACAGTGAGCCTCTCTCCTGATGCTTCGGAATTCGTTCCTGGACGTGAGCTCGCTCCAAGGCCGGCTGCAGTGAATCAAGGACAGGAAATCGAGGCGGAATCTCCCCCGCAGCCAACCCACTGCTCGTGGGAGTTCTTCTATCAGGCCCGATACGCCTTCGATCTCAGGACAGGGATTTTCATGCGAGGAAGAAGGATGGATTACACCGAGCATATTTTCGATACGAGAGGCGGGGTTCACACCTGGAGTATGTCCGCAGCGAGCCTCGAAGCGACTGTCTGCCCTGTATTCCGTGTCGTCCAGAGGACCAAGGATCCAAACCGTCTCCGAACTCTACCCTTGCGGATGGTCCAGGCCGGGACCAAGAATTCCATCTGCTCCTCGCAGGCTTCTTCTTCACTTTCGAGATTGCGATAGTTCTCCGTCAATTTAAGCATGAATAAACATTGTGTTATTGAGAATCGTCCCGTCAATTCCATTAGAATAAGCTATTTGAGAACATCCAACATGTAATAGCATCTCTCGTCTAGCATGTATCCGCGGGAGAAGAGCCGGGATGCGTAGAATCAAGACAGGAATGAGTCAGAGAACGAAGAGATTCGTCAGGAGCGGAACGGCCTTCTGGAGGCTCCCTCTGTGGCCATCCATACCCCGGTCGCTCGCCGAACTCGAATATGAAAAATTCCAGCACACGCTCCCAGAGTCGATCTGTGTCGTAACATCAGAATTCGCGACAAGGGCTGCCAGTTTTTCTTCAGCAGGGAGATTTCGCCAATGATGATGGTTCGTTCTCTGAACAGCGGGGAATAACCCCAGAGAAAATTGTCGTTCCGACTCGAACCGTGGTTCTAATTCGGGGAAGCAATCGCGCGCACGGAGGGGACCGCTTGTGCTCACGAAGCGATCCACGTGCCCGTCGATTCACTCCCACTCAAAAGTTCCCGCCGAGCCGAAAACCTCTTGGCAAGCTTATATCCCACAGATAGGAACTCGCATCCTCTTCATTCGGACGAGCATGGGTGAACGGGATGAATTTCGACAGATGGTCAGAATGGTAGAGGACGCCGGTTTCAATAATTCAACCAACGACAGCCAGATAGAAAAGGCTTAGATAAGGCAAGGGGATACGCTCGAAGAAAGCGATATCAAGTTGATGCGAGTCGCGAGAGCCTATGAGGAGTCCCTTGGTGAAGGTTATGTCTGGCGCAGCCAGGCACAACCTATTTTTCTCTAGCTCATTGAGGTTTGGATGCTTGTACCGTGGATATCGATGGAAACTTGTTCGCCGCGGTTCTCCACGATTGTCCCATTCTATGCACCGAGAAGCTCCTCCCGCAAATATTCTGTGGGTTGTACTTTCGACTTCGCCGTTTTCCGCTGTCTACCGCTCCCAGATAAGAGCAAAGATCACTCTCGGAAGGTGCCAGAATAGCTTGCGTTGCACACCTCCGATGGATCCCGGGAGTCACCTCGCCCCGTGTGATATGTGATGCTTCCTTCTTCTTACGACGGAGATCTTGGATTCTTCAATTTTGGCGGAGATGACGTACTAGAAGAGTGACTGGAATCTGGCTAGATGACTAAGCCCGGCTTAGGTGATCATGCTCGAGGAGGATTGCAGCTCACCCCGCATCCGATATATAACTTGCCGCTCCGATGCTTCGAAATCGCGCAGAGGCTCTCGTTGCTACGAGACACCGAATTATGGTCGCTCAGGTGCCAATCTTTAATTAGGGGCCAATCTCAGGGCTCACCATCCCAAGCCGATCAATGGTGCTCCTTTGGATAGGCGATTCCCATCCCCAGCGATGCATGCGCGACAGAGATCGTGCCTCCGAAGCGAGGAAGTGGATTTCATCGCGAGGAATATCATCGCTCGAGTGGAAGAAGGACCGCGTGAGCTGTGAGGAAACGCTCCGTGTGTACGCGGAAGAAGACCACTGTACCCTGCGACAAGGATTTCGCCGTCTGTCTCCCGATGAGGCGATTTACCCGGTATTCCTATGTAATGTTTCACGATGGTTCGGATGCTGCCTCGCGAAAGGGTCGAACCTCAGCTCCGCTGATTCGTCGGTGTGAAGCTTGGGTTCAAGGAGTAGAGAGAGTTCGTCATATTTGAAAGCATATATTTCCATTTATTGTTACCTATCACCATCGTCGTAATTCACGCACTCCGATTGCCAAGGAGGCATTGAAATTTGAATGGTTTGATCCACAGATGTCGAATGATCATTCATGCATCGTGACCACTGGCTGCAGGTGTCGATGAACCATTTCTTCCTTATTTATGAGATGAGTGGTTCTAGACAACAGGCTCATCAGCGAGTTGAGGTTGTGGGACCAATCATTTAGAACTTCTTCGGGATCTTTCTGCTGGTGAACGAAATGCACAATCCCAGAAAGTCGGTCAATCTTAGCATAGATGACTTTGTTGGTGACGAGATTCGACAAGGTTTGTTCAGTCTCGGCAAGTGACAAGTCCAGGAGATGAGCCATGCGCTCTAGGCGGATTCTGGTGTAATATTTTGCCATGACGCGCATGTTGTGCTCGACGACTCGCTTCTTCAGGTCTTCGAAGCGTTTCTCCGATTTGAAAACAGTCGAAGCCCGCAGCTCTTGCTCATATTCTTGCGCGATGCCAGCCCATACGATGAGTTCCGAAGTGATGAACAGCTGCAGCAATTGATTGTATTTAGTTGACTCTTTCAGGATTTTATCCTGGTCGAGCCGGTGTAGGAGATCATGCTGCTCGTTGTCGTATGGCGCGAGAATGCAGAAGAGAAGGGCTGCCTGGAGGGCCATATCCCTCTTGGGAATATCCTCCTGGATTTTCGGTGTGTTGTAAACTGCCAGGAAATGACGTGAGATATCCAAATATTTCGAATCATGCTCGCAAAGAGTTATCATGCGCTCGTAGTATTTGAGCTTCAAATCCTGCTGCTCTGGATCATCGAAGAATTTAACGGAAATCTTCTTCGAGATGATGGCGGCTCTGATGAAATCGTTGCGCGCAAAACCGAGTCTCATCTGCTCGAGGATGAGTTCGACCTTCTCTCGTTTGTCCATCGATCCGAAAGTTTCCACCTGCATTTCGTACATGATGTTCGCCGCGCCTTCGATGTCCCCTGCTGCTTCTTTGATCTGAGACAGTTTGTAAGTCAATCGAGCGCGTTCTACCTCAACGTAGATTTTGCCGGCGGTCACATTCCGAAGGGTATCGATGAGGTTCAGCTTCTCTGATCCTTCAAGTTGATCGACGTACACACAGCACTCCTGGACCATTTTTTGGATTGCCTGTTTCATCTGGGACCGTCTCTTCGACAGGGCAACGACCATCTCGTTCAGTTTCGTGTAGTTCTTAGTTTCGTAACACAGTTTGACAACCTGAACGAGGATTCTACCAGTTGAATGAGTATCCGCTCCGGTACGGGTCTGTTTCTCAAGGGCCATAAGCTGATCCAATGCTTCGTCCAATTTGCCTTGTTTCACCAAAGCGTTGGTCGCGATGATCTTGTCGTCTACGTCTTTCTCGTAGTCGACCTCCATCTTGACGATGCGACCGTCAGCCATTTCGCGCGGATTTGTGGGGTCCGAATATTCTAACACTTCTGACAACCGATGTCGATCAGTATTCGGAAAGCGGCGAGTCACTGTCGAATGTTTTGCCGGCTGATGAAGTGATCTCTGCTGACTGAGGTTCATCTTGCCTCCGTCAGGAACGGGCGGGATATTTTGAAAAATCTCTCGAGTCCGAACTTCCCTGGGCGCGTAGTGAAGCCCGTGACATCTTCGGATTCCGAAAATGCGCGAGGTCTCTCAGAGGAACTCCCGAATAGGACTGACGCATCGGGCAACGTACGCCCTACACGTATCAGAAAATAATTGTGAGCAGCTTCCTCATTGCCCGCATAGAGCTCGCTTCCCACATAAGAAATGATCGCGAAGCCCCTTTATGAATCTCCTCTGGATCAGTATGTCCGGAACATCGTCGAGTCCAAAAATCGTGACATGACTCAGCCGCAGAGCCGGATAGTGACAAGAGGAATGCCAAAAGCCCGTCTCTCACTTCACTTTGGAGAATCAATCTGTTTCTGTAATTCTGGATCGAAGTAAGTACTGTCGAAAAGCGAAGTCCAGCGAAGGAGGAATCAACTCCTCTCCGAGACCGCTATCTTGCAGCAGTTCGAGGGTCGGAGCTTTCCTTGACGAGCCAGACTCGAGTTTGCAACGCTCTATCAGCGTCCTTAGGGCAATCGACGTTCGGAGCGAGTTCTCCCGCATCGGGGATCGTTTTGCGGATATCTTTCCCCCGGGAAACTCCGTGACGCAGCCTTCTGGCGCCAAAATTATCGTGTCGGATTATCATCTTCGCCTGTAGCGACACTTGAATATCTTAGAGAGACCTAGCACGGATGGATCATACACCTATTCGGATGCAGTCTTGGGAAATAGAGATGAGAGAGAGTGTAGCCTGAGCATCCATATCGTAGTGGTACCCCCCGGAACAGTCGTTGCGATTCTCCCGCGGATGAGCCACCGTGATTCGCGGGATGTTCGAGCGCGGGATTGAGGTCAGAAGGAACCCATAAGGGACGCTGATCCGCTCATCAGTGGGCTCGAGAGACCCACTGAGCGCCCTCGGAACGCTCAGGGTGTATGAGGGAGGAGTCGGCCAGTGGAGAATATTCGCCTGGAAAATATCCCGCATGGTGAGACTTCACATGCGAGACTTCCTCAACTCTCATGAGCCCTTCGGCGTTGAATTCGAAGCGATCAAAGTTCACCCAGGATCGGGATTCACCCGCTGCTCACTCGACTAAGGGGAGCCTGTATCCTGGAGAGTCAACTGGCGTTAATATAACTCGGGAACGGACCCAAAACGACGATCGATATCGCGTTCTCTGTTCTCTCTACCGACTGAAAAATGATAAGGATTTCATGCCGGAGTATGCGAGCCGAAGGAGCCCATTGCGAAACCTCGCCATAGTCCGCCCCCGGTCTTCTATTGCACGGCATGCTCGTAGATACGCATTCCAGCCGATGATTGTTGCTCATTCTCGGGCCACATAGGCAGACCTCGAGGAGAGCGAGAAGCCGAACCAGTTCCTGGAAGTTGGCGGGGGCGATTAGGCGACTGACGGTCTCCTGCTCGACAGGTTGATCCTGCTATCTACCCCCTACAGAGCCTGGTGTCGTTTGTACTTCAATAATCTAACTTCTCAGCAATCCTCCCTCTAACCCGCATTTTCACAGCGAAAACATGCAGTCAAGGTACGTTTTCTAGAAAAGTTGAACGATTCAAGATTCTCTATGGGATGATATGATCTGAGATCCTGCTGACGTGATGGAGAGAATAACGCACGAGCACAGATCGGCCGGTTTCCTCTCGTTTCAAGAGAAGAGTCTTTACGTGCGCCTCGTCCGGCTCCCGGTTCCCCACACCTCTACTCATTCGCTCCTGCTCCCCTCCGGCCTCCCGGGGGTCTTAATTAGAATGGGGAATAGAGTTCTTCGATGCTGCTGGAATTGTCCGTCCGAATTCGACATTCTCAGAGGTTCCACAGCTCCCCGGTGCGAGATCCGAATGGGTCTTCACGCTGCAACATGCTTCAACGGAGGAATACCGCCATTTTTCGAGCGATCGTGTCGCTTTCACTCGCCAGTTCTTATATGATCCGAGCCGACTCCGGGGTTCTCCAAATGCTGACGACGGAATCTATCGCTCAAAACAACTAAGACGCTGTGGTTCACCGCGGCCGTCATGATGTTCCACCACGTTAAATGGTGATGGTGCAGGAGTCCATACTCGATTATGGCGTCCCAGCATCGGAGAATTTCGGCATGCGGGGGCGACCTCGATCACTCTTCCTCCTCCAGGTCCAGTTCCCGCGAGTTTTGAGGGCATTCGTTCTGAAGATGCTTGTTTCCCACAACGTGCTGAAGTAGGATAGTAGGCACTGGTTCAGGAAGTAGAGAAGTTTTGCGGACGCTTTCTTCGGTGAATGTTCCGTGAGCTCGGTGGTTGGAGGTGCCTCAGAGTTGTTTCTGCTCGGCAGAATAGTGCAGTTTGTGCTTCCACGTCGGATGGCCGATGTCGTGTTTTATGGCAGCCCGGTTCGGAGGTGTTTTTTAAATCAGCTTTTATTTCAGACCGCAAAGTCTCTGCAAGGATGTTCCATGGCTATATTATGCACCAGTTCATTTCTTATGCTCCTCCTTTATGTCTATTAGAGTTGGTCTATGGCAACTGCTAGGGTTAACCTATGGCCCTTTCGGGATTTTCTTTTCTTTTGAGGCGCGCGGACCAACGCCGACTGCCTTATGCAATGCTGACTTCACCCCTTGACCCCGCTGCTTTCTCTGAAGCCCCTCCAGATTCTCGTGGTTTACCCCCTCACCGCCCATCTATGGGCCAACACAGCAGGCCATTCGGTTTCCCTCCTGCTCTCTCAGACATATCTCCCGTACTTTCTTCAACTCCAACGATGTACTTGAAACAAGGCATCGTACTGTGCCTCGACTTTTGCTTCATTCTCACGTGTGTTTGCGGTGGGGTCGTTTTTTCGTTGGCGAATGAGATTATCTCCAGACGTAGCTCCTAAGTCTAACTGCAATAACGGTCTCACGTTACCGGCAATAACGAGTTCAAAATGTCGCCGCCCATTCCGCTTCTGTCTCGACCTCCCTTGAAGCAGTCCACTGAGACGAGCGCAGAAAGAAGCTAGTGTGTGAAGCCGTGCGACTCGAGAATCGCGGGTCTGGAATGTTCAGAACAGTAAATCGTTCCTCCTTCCGCTCAGAGAGCAGATATTTCCGAAACCGATGATGCTCAGGTACTTGTGACACTTCTGTGACTCTGCGGCGCACCTTTCTCCTCTCGGATCGTTCTCAACCTCTTTTTTCTCCAGTTTTTCTTCTTCGCATTCAATTCGATCTTCCAGTCTCTGACCCGTTCTTGTCCCAGCCGTTCTTCAGTCGATGTCGAATCGTCCGCTTGATACGAGCAGGTTTTTCCCTTCACTTTCATTGAAGCCTAATGAAGCAGAAAGTTTGTAAACATGCTCAGGCGTTTTTCCCCTATGCTCGGAAAAAAAGCTTCACGCTGCCCACGCTGTAGGATCCATCTACGCGAAGGGAGCTCTGTCGCCTCGTTCCGCATTCCACTGACTCTGCGTCTTTCTGTGGGTTTTTCCGGTTCTCTTTTCACTTATTCGTCTCGACCGGTCACAGTGTACGTCTCCAGGTGGATCCCCCTCCGATCGTTCAGAATTGAGGGGGGAAAATTCTTTCTGCGCAGTTCCTTTCCGACCTCAAGGGCCGATAATGCGGGCCCTGCGTAGCCCTGATCAGCCGGCTAGTGTAAGTGAAGTTTGTGGCAGTTTCTGGGAAGAAGGGAAACCGCGGTGTCTCTGTGAGATTCTTGACGATTCTGATGACCGCAACCGAAATTGATGATTACACTTCAGAACAACGGACTCCAGTAAGGCGGTCGATCAAATTCTAGTAAGACTATCTAATGGAAATAAGGGTACGTTGCCGTGCGGCTCGGCCGGTGACCGGACTCGAACTGAAGACTCCCCGCAAGATTCATCGCCAAGGCAAACAATTTGAGAGTGTCATCGGGTATCTGCATGTTACTTGTTCATCGCTCTGGCCCCTCGGCGATCCATCGAACAAGCGAATATCGTGACTTCCTATGCATTCGTCCCCATAAACAGGACATGAATGAGATTCTGTTAAATATGATTTTATTCAAACCACCGGTATCTGACAGCATACATAACAAAATAGCGTAATAGAATTTCATTCCCATTTTTCATACTGGTGTTGTTCTCTTCAATAGATGATAATCATCATTAGCAGTAATTGATCCTAAATCAGTTGTTATTTCTGTTTCACTGGCGCCAGCAGCAATGATACTCTCTCCTCTTGATTTTCGAAATCGACGGTCGCCTATTTTCCTATATTACCAGATCTGAGACTTTCATAATTACTTCATCCACCGTCCTTGGGATACTTCGGAACAAATCACATAATAGTATGCGACAGCGCCTGATTGGTTGTCTATAATTCAAAGGTAGGTTTCTCGGAGAACGTCCACCTATTTCCAGAACGCGTTCTCCCCTTCAATAATAATTATAATATATGAAATGATGATATTTTAGTCGATACCGCTCTCGCAATCATCAACTCTAAGCTATACAAACACCGCTATTCACAGATATCAGCATCAGCATCACGATCGACGGTGAGAAAAAGAATTTTTTCCACCCGATTGAACTTTTTTTTTGATTTCGATTCTTCTGTCTCTGTCTACGCTCAGGCAACAACAAGTTCCTCATCGTCACCGTCCTCGGTCATTTCCACCTCGGGTTCGAGAGCAGATCTCTCTTCTTGGCTCGGTGTGGGAGTTCGGTTCAGGTGTTCTGTGAGCTCGTGGTTTTCCAGCTCAGCTCTAAAGTAGAACGTCATGTCGCATTTAGTGCAATCGAACGGCTTACTGCCGTGCTCCGTGATGTGACTGCTCAACGACCGCGCGGTCGTGAAGATCGCACTGCAGAGGTAGCACGTGAATCCGGGGCATCCTTCGAAGCTGTGTTCGATCAGGTGGATCTGGAGCTCGGTTGCGGTTTCGAAGCCACCTCGACACAGCTTGCACTCGAAAGCCGACGGGATTTCACGGTGGATCTTCGAGTGACTTTCGAGATCGGCCGCAGAATCGAACGTCTTATGGCAGTCGGAACACGAAATCTTCTCCAATTTGATCTTCTTGTGAGAGGGCTCGGCTTTCCGACAGGAATGACGCTCAAACTCGATCCGACCTTCGAATTTCACTCCGCAGTCGGAGCACTTTTCGATCTTGGACTGTTTAACTCCTTGCGCGAAGCACTCCTCGCAGCTGATTTTACCGTTAGGTGCGCGAGCCAGATGGTCGTTCTGAGTGTGACAGATTTCGCAGATCTGCGGAAGAAGAAGATGGGAATTTAGACGCGTCATAAGATCGAGAATTTTGAGTAACTCCGTCACGCAACTCGCAACGGTCCCTCTCGCAGTAGTTCTTATATTGGGAGGCAAGAAACTCGACTCTCGCTTACCTTGGTCGCTTCAGCCGAAGTCGCAGACGAGGAGCCGATGTGGAACTTCGCGTGAATCTGGAGTTCGACCTCTGACATGAGAGTCTGCTTGCAAATCACGCACGGCAGAGGTAGTCCAGTTCCGGAGCCGCCGTGAGTGGCAACGTGCTCCGCGAACTCCTTCTCGGTCCGAAGAATGTCACGACAGATGGCGCAGGTAGTTCCGACGGTGACTTTGCAGTGGGTGAGCTTGTGCTCAGCCAGGGCCGAAACATTGGAGAAAATCTCGTCGCAGATGTTGCACTTGTGTTTTCCGTTCGAAGAGCCGTGTTGGTGCAACTTCATGTGATTGTCCAAATCCGAGCGTGACTTGCAGCTTTCGTTGCAGTACGCGCAGAGGAGGCTCACGCCATTAGCGCTGTGAATTTTTCGGTGGACGAGCAGGGCGGCCTCCGTCGAGAACGCTAGATCACAAACATCGCATTTCGCCGTCCGCTTGGACAGGGTGAGATTCTGCGCCGAAAGCGTCGAATGGGCGGCCTCCATGTGCTTCTGCAGGAGGTATTCCACATGGAAAGCCTGGTCGCACATCGAGCACGCGAACTGACGATTGTGAGTCTCGACGTGTCTTTGGAGTAGCGGCTCACTAGGGAATGTCTGTTTACACAGCAAGCATCTGTACGGAGATGCTTTCGCTAAATGCGTGACTTGCACATGAACGGAGAATTCTCCCTCCGAGCCGTAATTCGTGTTACAGCTACCGCACTGATAAACTCGAGTTTTCTCGGAGTGTTTCGACGAGAAGTGCGCTTGGGCTTCGGCTTTCGATTCACACACCTTCTTGCAGACCGAACACCTGTACAGGTGTTGAGCGTGGTGTTCCATGTGGTGTTTCTGCAGGTCCTCGGGCTCGGAGAAGGCTTTGCTGCACGACGAGCAGTTGAACTCGGTAGCCTGTTTGAGATAGTGGGAAGCGACATGTGTCTCCAGCTGCTGGGAAGATCCGAACTCGGCGTTGCATTCGGGGCAAACACGGGACACCTTGTTGGGAGGGAGATGCGATGCGTGATGGAGCCGGAACGCCTCGAAGTCCGGGCTCGCTTGACCGCACTGCGGGCAGATGAAAGGACCTCCCCCGTTAACGTCCGTGTGAGCAAATCGCACGTGTTCGACGAGAGCGGCTTGACTCGGCATCTCGATCCGGCAATGGGGACAGCTGTGGTTCGCGGCGGCGGCCGCGGCCGCAACAACGGACTCGGAGTTCGCCATCTGCAGGACCCGGGCCTCGAAGAGCTTCGATATGAATTCCAGGCTGTGTGGCAGCGTTCCGGGATTTATCGTGTGCGCCTGCAGGGTGTGAGTCTGCAGGGCGTGTGGCGATGGCAGCTGGATGCGGCAATATTGACAGTTGTAAGTTTCGGTGCCGGCATCCGTCGGGGACAGTCGCTGCGCCGCGAGGTATGCCAGATTGAAGTTGATGTTTTTGTTCATCAGGGACGCCATGGCCGGGAAGTTGGAGTGGGCTGCTCGCATGTGCAACTGCAGATTCTCCATCGTTCCAAAATCAGAGCGGCTGCATAGGGAGCACACCGGCGTCGGGGAAGATGTGAACGGGTCGAGCGGTGAGCTCAAGAGGGGCGCGGGCCGGTCGGACGAAGGGCTCCTCGACAGCCGGTCCGTACGGAAACCGTTCGCCAGAGGAGTATCAGAATCGTTGGCGCTGTCCGATCTGTGGTTGGTCGTCGGACGATTCGACATTCGCTGTCGATCGTCTCTGGCCTAAAAAAAAGGAGGAAATTGAGATGCAAAAGTTAGCGGGTGTTTGGAATCGTGCTGCGAATCTTCGATCCAGCAGAGTCGGTGGCGGCCGACGCGACTCGCGTGATCGATAAATGCATGGAAGGTGTCCAACGGAGTCAACTCAATCAAACCTACCTGGGCCTCAGCGGTGTTTTTCCTGTGGTTCTGCATATGACTTGTGAGAGCAGCCGCAGTGTTGTATCCACGATTGCACATTGAGCATTGATACGGTTTTGCGTTGTCGTGAGTCTTCATGTGAATTTTCAAGTGGTCGCTCCTTGAAAAAGCGGATTCGCATTGAGTGCAGCGATACTTCTTGTCACCGGTATGCAACTTGACGTGACGATCTCGGCTTCGCTTGTGCTTGAAAAGTCGCTGGCAATAATCGCATCGGAACGGCATCTTGTCGCTGTGGACCTGCGAATGGAAAGGAGAGAAAATTGTCACTTCGAATATCGAATTTCTCGAGCTTGCATGATTTAGTAAAGTCGAGTACGTCGTTTCGAGACGCGATCTTCCGCGGCCGCGGTGATCGTGATTGCAGAAGGCCGGCTGGTCTACCGGGAAAGCGTCGCGTCGGCCAGCCGGCCCGCAATAAACCGAATCAAGTTGGAACGGAGCAAGACGCCCCGAAACTCTGTGAACCCTGAACCCAGATGACGGGTGCGGTGTCTAGGGACAAAAGCTCTGGATATTCAGCAAAATTAACCAAAAATCTGGGTCAGCGATGCGTATATGGCGCCGCTTGCGCGTCCGTAATCCCCTTTGAATTCTCCATTCTCGACGGAATCTTTTTTTCTTTGCCGTTCATCCGCTTGCTCTATCACTCGTCCTCGTCATTCCTTTGAGGTGTGCTCCTCAAGATTTTTTCCTCTTTGGTCATGTCCCGTGATAATTGTGCGCTTCATGAGATCATGGAATGAGAAGTGGTTCACGTTGACACGGAGCCGACCGCTTCCTTCCTGGACGAACGACGGCGGATGAATTTCGTCAACGTCCGTCAAGTGTTCGACGAAACCCTAACGAAGTGTCGACCGGAAAAAGCAGACCCAAAAAAATCGAACGGACAACAACGGATCGAAGTTTACGGAGAAGACTGGATCCGGAGAAGGCATCGTAAACATCGATTGATAGACAGATAAAGGCTCGGTAGTCAGACCGATGTCCCCGATGGACCCGTGGATAAGTTTGGAATACCAGATGGTTCATTGAGCAGCTTGTCCGGAACCCCACTGTGATCTCTGGGCACCCAGGTCCATGTAATGAGTGAATCAGACGGGTCCGTCACCGTGAGTTGTTCGCTCACGCGCTCGCCCGCCTAGAATTGCCGAAGACAGTGCGCGCAGACACCGTTTCAGAGCTGCGATTATTTTCATAGTGAGTTTCGGAACAATCAGCCAAACTCACTGACTGCGAGCTCGACTGACTGACTGACTGGCTTGCTGACTGGCTGTTAACGTCGGTCGACGACAATAACAGCGAAAACAACCACCACGACGACGTTTTTGATGCAGCAATCGCCACTGGCGTTTCTGTGTCCGAGTGTCGGAACGTGTCGGACGCGCGCGCGCGCTTGTCATCAAAAAGCTCGCGCGTTTCAGCACCTTTGACCTGGTCGTCTTCATGGGCCGTCTTCAACGTACTAGGACCCTTTGTCTTATTTGGTTTTACACACTGTTTTTCTCACTGTCGCTGTTTAGCTAAGTCTTGGGAGCACGCGCCCCGAAATGTCTGAAGCGTTCGTCCAGAAAATTTCAGACGCCCAGTGATGGAGCTGGCACCCAGCCATGGTTTTCGTTAAAACGAAAACTCCGATCCATCATACGGTTGAGTTCAACTCGTAACGAGCGCGATGAAAGCGATCTTGACTTCGGAGCTTGCTCGGCTAATCCCCTCCGAATCTCCTCCACGAAAACCACCGCAGAAGATCAACTGACCTGCTCATGCCGTTTCAGGTAACTGGAACGAGGGAAGGCTTTCTCGCAGAACTGACACGGGTACGGTGTGTTCTCGGTAACGCCGATCGTGTAGCCAAAATCGGGAAGATCCTGACCGTCAGGAGTTTCGCAGGACGATGCCAGAGGCGAGAGAGACGAAGATTCTTCAGGCGTGGTGCATCCGCCATCCGAAGAACGCCAAGATGAGGGGGTTCCTGATCCTCCGTTAAGGCCTACAAAGATTCGAAAGAGAACGATTAATTTCTAAGCGTTATTCCTCGAATTTCGTGACGAGAAAAATTACGCGAATAAACACCGAGTTTGTGTACTTCCGTTAGACTCCTGTTTATTAGGTTAGAAACGGATTCAATATTAATATGGAGATTCTTATGCCCACTCCCGGTGGGTTAATCAAGGAAGAATGGCAGAATTCGTCGAAGACTGAATACGCTGATTGATGGGCAAGTCTTGTGAAGATAGATTCGTGGATGGCTCCATCTCAAATTCTGCACCAGATGGGCTCGATCGATCACCGGAGCAACCGGAACGCTATGTGTTTACGGACTAGTCCGGTGTTTTCACCACAAAATTACTTCGACGGGTGACTAGAGCTTGCCGCCTGTCGACAATGACGACAACGACAGGGAAACTATCCCGTACGACGGCCGCAGATCGATCTAGGAATGATTGAGATGATTGAACCCACGCGGTCGTTCGACTAATTGAGTTGGGAGCATCCTGCTCTCAAAACTTATTCTGCAGCTCTTCATTGAGAGCGCGTAAGCCCGCTGCGATTCTCCGCTGGTTGTCCCTTTACGCCGGGAACGGCAGACGGAGACGCCACCAACTAACTGAGCGAGCTGGCTTTCTGATTTAATCGCTGCTGAATTTATCACGTAGGTCGAGCTTAGTTTTACTTTTATTGAATGCTATTTATTGCTTCGATTCGATCGGTGCCATTCGCTTGACCAGGTCTCGGTCTGCCACCCAGTGAGCAGTAAGACGGTACATCGAGACGAGTCGCGACGCACCTCAGTCTAAATTACTGGCTTCGTTCTGTGAGCTCGGCAGAACGTTCCCAGTCTGTCGAGCTATTTGTCGGCCACTAACGTCTGTCATCCAGTCTTCGGTCGGTCGGTCGGTCGATCGGTTGTTCGCTTGATCGGGCGGTCGGCCAGTCAATCATTGAGTGAAACATAAAGAGTTTGACTCGGAGTTGATTGTAGCTTGGGACGCGCTTCGAATTAAGGTGTCAAGTTCGGTCGTCGAATAGTGATCGCGGTGTTACATCTTAATTCAGCAGACTGAAGTGAAGAGAACATTTGTGGAGGTGTGAACCGCATCCTGTTGTGGCGAGCGTTCCTCCGCGGCCGTACATGTTCTCGTTGATGCGAATGTGAGAGTGTTAAGATGCATCGATCAATCAAACAAGCCTCGCTCAGCTCCTTCAAATCGCCGGGATCGATACGCTGATCTGCGAGTCTCCGTCCCATTCTGAGCGAAACAGTGAATGCGGTTTTCTGGTCCTCCGTAGGAGGATGCAGTATAGGAACAATCGAGCCCCGGAGGAGGACGGAGCCGAAGATCTTCTTCTCCTTCTTTCGATTTCCGGGTCTGCCCCAGAACTCCCGGTCACCAGACTTCGAATCCACGTTTGTTTCTTGTCGCATGGTCGAACAAAATTAAAATCTTCGTGCCTCGATAGAACGTACGAAAATTCGCCTCCGACAAGCGACCGACCGACCAGGACAGAAGGAAGCCGCTGGGCTAGGTCGACTGGTCTGCAAGAAGGAAATGATCTACGAGGGCGCTTATGCAAGAATGCTCTGAGCTTCGTTTCTCTCGCAGAGCTCGTCGTCGTCGTCTTCTTCTTCCGGCTCAGCGACCACTGTGACGTTTCGAAGCGATGTTTCTTCCTTCGCGCTATCGGTATCTGTCGCCTGCTCGGTTTGTTGCTCGGTCGGTGTTAACGGATGACTATCCGTTGGTGACCGACCTCTTCGGCGAGTGGGTTTTCTCCGTTAAAAGAATGATTTCTCATTCACGAATGGTTTACGCCGTCGGTAGCTCATTCTCTCGCGTTCGGAATAGTTCGCCCGGATCTCACTCACTCGGTCGGACAGAGAGCGACATGCCACGTGAAATGTGCGCGAGCGTCCTTTTCACATCTGGTTAGCTTTGCCTTTTTAGTTAAGAGACAAAACAGAACCGGGGAGAGGGAGAGAGGGTTGAGGAAACGAGAAACCGATAGCTACAGCGAAACGCTCTCGAACCAAAGGGCGCTCCAGCCAGTAACCAGTTGAGTCCGTCTCTCTGCTCGCCTGCCTCCCTGGCAGTCCGTCAGTCTGTTCGTCCGCCAGTCCGTCCTCCCGTCAAGGGGTCGGCCATAAGCCCACTTTCGAGAAGTCAATGTCAAGCCAGGCCGAAATGTGTAATACATCCTCTTGTCGGGGGCCCAGCTTAAGATTCCACGGTCCGAAGCAGCTGAAGCAGAACCCCCACCCGACTTTACGATCTAGCGAGCGAAAGTTGATGTCATAATTAGATTTGCGTCTCCTCTTCGTCGTTCACCTCCGTCATGCAGGCCGATTCTGAGGAGAGCTTGAGCTTCGCAGAAGGCCGCTTGATCTTCTTCGTCTCGAGACGGCTTTGTTGCCGACCTCGATCCACTTGACGGCTATGGATCGCAGTAGAGATGTTTACGCAGCGAGCATTTTTTCTCTACGGCTTCGCTCCGAGCCTTATATGTATGTGTGTATGTAGAGAGAAAGTAGAGCGAGTCGCCGCCGCCGCCACCGTCTTCGCCATTCGAAGAAGTCACCGTGGGCGCCAACAACAACACTTCAGTTGACTTCAACTTCAACATCGAGCGGAACGCGCGTCAGAAGAGAAAACTTCTCAGCTTTTCTCGGCAGTATCGGCTCGCTCTCCGCAACGAGTAGCCACGATTGATCTCTCTTCAACGCGGCGGACTTGACGGTCGGGATTTTTTTCTGAAAAAATGTTGATCCGTAGAGCACCCATCTCTGACGACGGCTGACTACCTGCGAGTCATGCGGACACACCCAGACAAAGCAACTCCGCGAACAGATCAAGCACATGTGCTCCCCGATTGACATCTAGTGCTTCTAGTGCGGATTCTCGCCGCCGGGCTCGAACACCGCTCCGAACAGCGTGTCCTTCGACGGGAACACACATCAATCGATCGTTGGAACCATTAAATTCATGAATAATTATTTTTCCCGCAACCCTTCCGTTGAGTCGCGCTGCTTCTCTCAACGCAATCATTAGTCGCTTCAAGGAGACGAAGAAAGCGAAAGCACACACTCACTCGGTCGCTCCGAGTAATAACCGAACTGGGCCGCATTCTAGGAAACATATGTAGGTGCCTTATGGACCGGGAATCGGGAAAACTCTCGCGACAAGAATAACGACTACAGAAGACGCAACCAACGAAGAGGAGAAACAAGAACACCCGCGAGAAATTATGATGTCCGTGGGGGCGTAATCACCTTCGTCGGCCTGGACACCTAAGCGTCGAGCGGAAACGCCTCCCTCCCCGTGTGTCGAACGCGAGAGGCTGCCGCGAACTCGAGAAAGCGACTTCATTCCGGGCGGTTTTCACAGGAAAACGCCGAAAATTCAACGAATCTCGGTTTGTGGGCGCCGAAGCGCCAGCGGAGAAGCGCTGTGTGTGCGCGACCGAGTCGAGTGGATGCCGTCGATTTCGATCCGTATTCTTGTTCACAGTTGGGTGTCTCGCTAGGGATTGCTCAGCTGACGAGAATTTGCAGAAAACTCAGTTTGTGAGCACTTCATCAACTCTATCAAGTCGCTCCCGACAGCTTGCTTTCCTCTCAATTAGCGGCCGCCCGAGGTGACAGCGCGCCCGGACTCCAGCTCTCTCTCTCGGTGTAGCGCCGCGCCGGTTCGGTGAAATATGCCTCCAGCGCGGCATTGACTCGCTTTCGGTTGAGGATTTCGTTCTCTTCTCTCGAGTGCCTTCGTCTCCGTAGCGGAGCCAGCTCTTCTGTCATGAGAAATCTTCAGGTAGGTCGGCGGGTCGGTCGTCGTCGTCAGAGGATACCGTCGTGAAGGAGAACGGCGTCGACGACGACGACGACTAGGAGGAGGAGGCGACAGAGCCCCAAGCGATTGGCATTAATCTGTTGCCTGGCAGCCTGACAAGCTCGGTACCGAGCGTGTTGGGAACTGACGGAGCACCCCGTGGTTTGGGTGCCCCAATAGCTAGATTGAGTTATTACTGGGGTGCGGGCAGAAGCCAGACGCCCCTTCGCTTGACCGATACACTTCTCTTCGGACTACCACCACGTTTTCGTCCTAGTGCGAAAGTCCTCTTCGCTCTTGGGGCGAAGAAACTGCCGACGGGAACCATATCGCCTCGGAACGGGTGATCGAATTGTTCTTGAACGAATTCACGGACGGGAAGCGATTCTGTCCGGCTACGGTACCGGAGGGAGATGGTATCTGATCACCCAGTTGAGATCTTCATGTATTCGCGCTGAACCATTAATTTTCACTGCTGGGCCTCACTCTCGAACACACATTGTACGGCGCTCGTGGGGAAATAATGAAGTCGTTGGTTTCGTTTGTGAAAGAATGCTTGCTCCCCAGCCCGACGAGCATTATTGGGTGCCACCACTCCGAGCTAAATGTCATTTAGCGAATCCTAGCTGCCGAAATCGAAGGTCAGACTGTCCCAGTCGAACACTGCGGGATCACTCGTGAGTTTTCTCGTTTCCTTTTGCACTCGTATGCTCTCCTCCGGTGCCGGAGCTCGACGACAGTGACCGACGAGGTTTCGTGAGAAACGAGGGCATGATACCGAGTACGCATGCGTGAAATCTCAGCCTCAGTTCATTAGGCTCCGGTTCATCGCGACTCTTTCGGGGGATTCGCCCACCGACCGAGTTGCGGATGTGTACACAAGAGCGGAGGTGACGCTGCCGTAAGGGATGGCCTGGGCTCGCTTTCTTGAAAAACTCGTGGTCCCCACGAACACGTTGTGGGTGGGTGGGAGGTCGGCCGGCTGGCCGACCGGCGGAATGGATGTATCGTTGATGATTTGCTGGACGACTAATTAGAAGTGCCCTGATATTCGACCAGGGTCGTGCGTTAAGGACAACAACGACGACGGTCAAGCGCTTACAGCGTTCTTCTTCGAGTGTTTCGTCTTCGTTGTCTGTCTGGCCGGCTCCTCCGGCAGAGAGGC